AAGATGTTTTCTCTCTTCCTCCAACTACGTTATATGGTTCGTCAATCTGATTGGTTGAAGTTCGCCTGTAATAGACATGATAGACAGATGTTCATCCAATCACTTGCCAAGTATTTTGTGAAACTGCCTGCCCGTTTCTAAACGGTTTCAAACAACAACTTATCAATAGTTCTGTTTAACAAACCACCTGGCACAGTCATGTTAGGATTATCCCATCTGTATGAAAAGGCTGGTAGAATGACCTGAATGGACCTGGAAAAATGGCGCAAGATGGAATGATAGACGGACAGGTTAGGAAAAATGAGCAAATCGACTAAATCTGGCAGGCAAAATGCTCTGCTTCAGAGAGCTCCCAGTGGGGTATAAAGCTGCGCAGAAGAAGGAACAAAAGTGCATCACGATGTCACAGAGCCCAGTGGAATGGAGGCGTAACGTACTAAAAGAGCTTTAGTTTCAGGTCTCGGTGGTGGATGCTTGGTTCATCATCTTGAATGTGATGGACAAGTATAATAGCCACTTCCCTGTGTTAGAGGTGTGGTTCTGTAGAGCCTCCACATCTGCTCTCCATTGAGCTGCACGCACACAGTTAGAGGAGATTCCCACATAGTAACATACTGTGGGAATCCACAGATTTTATTATCAACAGCTTTAGAAAGAGCACTACACTCAGTGTCCTACTAGAAACCTCAGCTAAAAAATATCAGTAAGGATGTGTCTGTAATATCATTCAAGAGACTGGAATCTTATATGTACAGTATTCAGTCTGCCTCATGATCAGTGAACTGCTGGTACACAATAATTTCACTAAACTGAACATTATGGATATGTTTTGGAGAAAATCTAAGCAGTTTCTTTTTTTACAGTAAGGACAAAATATTTGGAGAACAAATAGGTCAAGAAAGTTCTGGAAAGTAGTGTCTGTTTAAGACATAAGACAATGAGCTGTTAATGATGGGCAACAAAGTGTTAGTTTTCTCAAAATTGTAAACATAAATCCACCAGAAGATTTACATTTTACCAGCCTGTACAAGAAACAAAAACACATGGATGGAATCTAGTTCATGTCCTTACCTAATCAGTCTAACAACATACAGCTAAGAGTACTCACACACCTGCTCTTCCCTGCAGTCATTTAGCAGCTGTGAGTCATTAGTTCAGGGTTTTCAGTGCATCAGTCCTTAGCTCGACAGAACAGTGAACCTCAGCATACTATACAATCGGTTGTGTTTGGGAATAGACAGCGCGCATTTAAAAAATATGCTTTGCAGTTGATTGGATGAACGCATGCCTATGCCCACTGTCTATCACTGTTATCACTAGACAAATTCAACCAATCACATCGAAATCAGAAACATATACGTAGTCCAAACCCTTTCTGGAACGCCCAGTCAGGAGAAGAGAGAAAACATCCTTTTTCACAGAGAAAGCTCTGTTAAGCGCAATACTCTCCAGTTCTAATAGAACTATAGAATGATGCTTAGGCAATCTGTCCCAGTTTAAGGAGTTCGTCTAGACCTGCTCTATTTGAGAAAGTGTCCCTACAGATAACTTCTGTTAATGAATTGGCGCTATACAAAAAATTGAATGGAACTGAAATTGAATTGAATCCTGCTAGTAAATTTTAAAGCAACATATTCGTAATGTCTTGCACTACTGTTTCACCAAAACGAATAATCAACAATCGTTTTGGCCCAGCTCTAATGTCTTTCCAGGTATGCATTTACAGATAAAACTAAAATATAACCTTACATACATGTTTTTCATATTGTATTTTTATATTAAAATTTAAGATTGGAATCTACTATAATTTAAACTATTCTGATAGTTAATCCGAGGAGATTGATACAGTTCATGTAATGCTGCAAGTTAGTATTTTTAAATTTGATAATGTATAGTATTGACAAATAAAAAAATGTTTGTATTTTCCTGTTTGTGCTTTGTAATTGCTGCGGTGGGGACTTTCCAGCCACCATGAAACAGCACTTAACCAATGTTATATAACGTCACTGTTTATCATAAACCTTGTTAAGTCACCTAGGAAACTAGATTAGCAGTTATGACCCCTCGTCCTTGTCTTGGTTTTCCAGTTTTTTGTTTAAGGACTCAGGAGAGTGTCTGTCTTGCTTTTTTTTCTGTGCAACACCACAAATTGGTGCTCCAACATCAGAGAGAATATTTGTTACTGTAACAAGCTGCCAGCATTGTGTTGTATCGATATACAAAGATGTGAGGCAATAACCTTCATATGTGTTTGGCTCACAACATAATGCTTAAACAAACACCTGCTCAAAGGTCGAAGAGAGGTGGATCTAACCAGTCAGTCGGAACACTGACACTGTTGACAGCAAGGTAATCAGGCAGCCTGGCCTTACACCATCACTTCATTAATTCGTATCTTAATTTGTAGGTCGCCATTGAAGCGCTTAGACAGGCAAGTGAGTTATCTTTCTGATGTGCAGAGGGATGGTCTCTTGTTACAGAGCGCCTTCATGTTAAGAACCAACCAATGTTCTAACAGTAGCCAGAACGGACAAACCAACACCTGCCTTGGAGAGGCTTTTGTGTTTTTTCAGGACAACTGTAGTTTCTCCCAATACATGTCACAAGCCGTTTCACGTACCACCCCAGGTTGTCCAAATACAGTATGCGAGTGTGTTGAAGATTGAGTTATTTTGTTGCCTTTTATTTTATGGTGTACCAATAGCATGCAAAGCAAGCCATGTGATAACATGAAATGGCTGACATGTAAACAGGTCCTGATCAGATTACAAACAGGATGTTAGCGGTTTATGTGGTAAGCACCTTAGAACAGAACTTTTCATGATCAATGGAATAATTACATAAATCACATAATAATAATAATAATATAATTAAATATAATAATAAATATAATATTAATATCAATCAGCCCAACAGCCAACCCGATTCCCTTCCCTTGTTCCAACTTTCAAAGCGACAATAATAAAGTTATTCTGTTCCTCCGTTTGCCCCCAAAGGACCCCCTAAACCCACTTGAGGCCCCTGTTGGTCCCTAAACCCCAGTTTTTGAACCAACCACCTCGGGCTACACAAGCCGCCCAATATTTGTGTTAATCTAATACCTTAATGAATGCCCCTAAGCTTCTGTCTCATCTGCCAATTGACTGTAAGTGGGCCCACGCCTGCTCCTTGCAGCCATTCCTAATAAGGTGGTGGTTTTCAGTGGAAAGCGATGGGTTCGCCAACAATGGTCGCAAAAAGCCTGGAACTTTTTCACGCTCAACAAGAGTGCAGTCCTTGCAGCAACACCGAATATTTATTTACGCTTGGACAACGGCTATGCGATGTTAAGAACTACTCAGCCTGGCAACGTGTCATCAGTGCAGCAAAATACTGGTGTCTGCAATTTCCAACTTGCCCATCGTCAGTCCAGGTTTACATTTGTGGCCCCTGTTTGTAAAGACGTGCTGATTTGTTTTTTTAAACAACTGGACACATTCCTGGTCGAAACAGTAAGGTGTTTAAGAGTTTACAAAATTACGTGGAAATGGCTTGCAACATCTGTATACAGTATCTGTTTGCCTGTCTATCTGCTGTGTGTATTCAGTATGTTATCTGATATGCGCCAGTATGAAAACACTTTTGTTCCAGTATATAATGCAGAAAAAATGCTTGTGGTAATTTATTGGTGTTACTGCAAAGTTTATCCAGCAGAGTGCGCTGTGATTTGCAATACTATGTCATGCAGCAAAGATTAAGAGAGAAGCAGCTCTCAGCAGTGTTGACTAGAATTTGGCTATAATGTATACATTAAATTATTTAACATGTAAAATAATATCTAACTTAAACCCTCTGATAGCTTTCCAAAATTGAAGCCAAAACATTTTGATCGTCTCCCGGTGGCTGACTGCAGTATAGGCCAGTAAAGCCCACTGTCTCCATGTTGGCAGATGGGACATGGGTAGTTCTTATCATGCTGATTGTATGTTCAAGTGTTCATTTTCTGATCAGTTTGGTTTTAATTAGTTCTTCGCCGACCCCGATCACTACTGTGCAGACTCTAGCTACAAATGGCAAAATATGACATCGGCCGTATTCACTATATTTTGACTTGATTTTTGTTGTTTGAGACACAACATCCATACTTTCATAATCGAGTTTGTGTGCATATATTGTATATTTCTTCAAAAGGTGTACACTACATCAAATACAGTACCCAGACTCAGGGAGAGTTTCCAGTCTGGTATTTAGTAACAGTTAGAGCACAGTAATTAAGACAAATTGTAGGAAAGTTGGTGACTCAACAGATATTTTCCAGGTTATTTTTGACACATTTGATGAGCTCTGTGTTTTTTCCTCCTGTCCTTGGTAATAGATGCCAGAAGTCAGCCATGCAACCCTTCCACTTGAATAAAAAGTTATCATGTTTTTGCATTCTTTTTTTTGACATGCACATTTCTCCTGCTTCCTTGGCATATCCAAACACCAAAACTATCCACGTTAGTATCCAAAACCACAGGAATAAAAGTGTGTTACATTAATATGCCTTCATCTATGAGTAAAATCATTTCTTTGTTCATTCATAAATAACTTCTCAAGTGTATAGTAGTTTATTTTTCCCCACAAGCTGCCCACACGCAGGATGCGTGCGTAAGGATGTGTACTGTCTGGGCAGAGAAGGGCTGGTCTCTGCAGAATGTCAAAGAAGACCAGCATTAAGTGGGTGTTTAGGGGTACATACCTCAACTTACGAGGAGGTATGTACAGCCTGGGGTCTTGCCGTCAGGAAGTTCAGGATCCAGTCAATGAGCTTGATGATGAGCTTGCAGGTCATAATGGTACTGAATTCTGATCTATAGTCAAAGCTTTAATAAAGGTCAAAACAACTCTTTGATCCAGTCTTTGAAATGACTGGGTGTGTCTTGATTTGAATCACTACTCTTCCCAATAGAACAGCTATTTTGTAAGCATTTTGTGAAAGCAAAGCTGGTGTCAGTGCTGTCTTGTGTTGTCTCCTCCAGGGATCTACCTGTTAGACATGATCTACATCGACTCAGCCTATCCTGCATCAGACAGCATCATAGAGACGGAGCAGCGGACCAATCAGATGAACAACCTTCTGAGGGTCATCTCCGACCTGCAGATGTCATGTAACTACGGTAAGAACATCTACATTGCCCAGTAGAAACAGTGTAGAACCTGCCCGCTTGTGGAAATGCTAGTTGTATTTAATATTCCTCTGATAGGGGACTGGGTGGCTCAGCTTCCGCTAGGATTTGCCAATGTTATTAGTATCATTATATTTTCTACAAGGAAATCTGCTTTCCCATGCATGAAAATGAACAAAACTTTGCTCATAGGTCCACTCCTATGCCAGATGGAGGCGCTACAACCACCGTCTAAAGTTTACTTACTTACTTTGAAAAGTCATAACAACTCAGTTGTATGTGCTATCGCTTTGCAACTTTCACCAAAATGTAGCCCTGATTGAGCAGTAATGTTCAGATACTTTGAGCTGGCAGGAATTAAGTCCATATTTTCTCAAAAACTGTAAAACGAATTAAACTTCCACATCTTTTGCTGAATTGACACTAAACTGGCTACACTGAATATTCAGAATGATAAAAAAATTTGCCCACAGTGCATCAAAATGTTTCACTGTACACAGCTACTGCAAATTTTTGCTAAATAAATTGCCAATGTTTATGAAAAAAAAAGTTTTTGATCTCATAGTAGATGTAGCGTAGTACATTTCAGAATTGTACTGTATCTCAAAAATGGTTGTTGTGTTTTTTACAATATTTGAACTGTATGCTAGTGGTAACTGTTGTAGTCAATGCAAATATAGCATCTTAAACATCTGTTACTGGCTTATGCGGTCAGTGAAGAGCAACTGCAGGGCAAATCTAACCAGCATTCATTGTGTGGCCGATGATCGATTATGCACAGGTCTGGATCATCTCGAATGAGCCTATTGTGCTGTGTGAATTAGGGACACATGACTTCAAGGTTTAATGCTAAATTTGTTTCCTCCTCTTCCCCCTAGTTTACTTATTTACTTATCTGTTTGCTTTAGTCCATGTGCTTTATGTGCAGTGTCAGATTGTTTTATGTGACTCTTCCAACTATTTTTTCCTCAGATTACTTGGTGACCCTGCCACATGTCCAGAAGTATCTGTTGTCAGTTCGCTACATAGAGGAACTTCAGAAGTTTGTAGAGGATGACAACTTCAAGTAAGTTTCAGTGACTGGTACTACAGTCTTTTTATTGTGGACAATATTGTGGACTCTTTTTATTGTGGACAATCCTTACTGTTTCTCTGATGGCCAGATTACCAAGACATTCACTGAAAACTCAGTATACTTTGGTCACAACACAAGCTTTGCTCTAGCAAACGGAAACATGGAGGTGGGCGTGAAATTGACAGGGGTCAATGCACAGGAAGCAGAATGGAAAACGACCGGCAGCTGGTTTTAGCTTTCTCAACAGGGAGCTTCCTCATCCAGCAGGCACTGATGACTTTCTCAGGCAGCTTCTCACATCTTCTGCTCAGAAATGGGTTTGGCTGTCTGCCATGGCTCATGACAATCTGGATTTAGTACTTGATTTTCTGGGTGAGACGTCATTACGGGGCTAAAATAATAAAAAGAATAAGAAAAACCCGAAAACAACAAAGAACATCATCCTCCATAGTATAACTACTATAACAATGAAATGTACACAGTGTACACAGATCACTTAGATGCCAAAGGTGCAAAACCTTATGATAAGATTTTAGCATAGTCTTCTCCAATAAAGTCTATAACAGGGCTCCAAACAGAAAAACCCATCCATGTCTCCTTGGAGAACATGTGTGAGCCTTTCCAATGGTAGAAGTTGTAGGACATTATGAAACCAACTTGAAACAGATGGTTTGACATCGTCTAACCAATGCTGTTGGATTGATAACCGTGCACACTACCACAGAACACTCTCTTATGTCTGTTTAATTCAGGTGAGGCAGCTTGCAAGCCTAAAATGCATTGTAGAGGATTAAGCTCAATAGGACAGCGTATTTAACACACGATACCAATTTCAACCCAAAATGTATTAACCTCCTGACAGAGCCACATTTAATGCACATAGGTGCCTATATGCTGCTTACACCTTACGCAAACACCAGAACAATCACTGTCATATTTACTCCTACAATATGGGGTAGTTTGTCATTTCTGAATAATTTTAAACTAAGTTTCCTGCAAATTTTAATTGCTACATATTTTTTTTTCCTATTTCATATAATTGTTTTACTAGTGATCATTGTTTTACTGTTCCCGTGACCGCCTACTGCTTATAGTACTGATATTACTTAAGCTGGTGAATGAGTGTCTCAATCTGCTACAGTCCATGACCTTCCTTATACTGAGGTACTGAGTTTAAATACATCAAATTTGTAAAAATCTAAAAAAAGAAAAAGTGTATTTTAGGTAGTCCGTATTCTTCCTTTTATCCATGGACCCCTTGTGGCTCCTGACATTGTGCTACGTAAAATAGCATAATGTCAATACCAGATGAGACACAACACAAGCCAATACATGCAGTAGCTATATAATTCTACTGGGAATACATATGGTTTTATTACGATTGTTATTCCTAAATATGGGTCCGTAACATAGCAATTCACAGGACATGACATGAAATGACAGTGTAAGAGGATTACCAGAAGAGTTGATGATGAAATTGGCCCTACTGCTCAGGCTCCCCTAAAATGCCTGCTAATTGTCCCGTTCAACAAGCTGCTAGTTGTGCTCAAGACATGACACTACAATACAATACAAAATATGAATGAAAAAACAGATGAAGCAAAGTAATTATATCACATAACACTGATAAGCTGTAAACACATATGGTGGTGAGTTCTTTATACTATGACAGTTTTCCTAAAATTAGATGTTAAAAAAACAAAATCACAATAGATCACCTTGTTTACAGTATCACAGTAAATATAAATACATATTGTATTGCCAAAGATTTGCCAATACACAGCACTATGCTCCGTTATGTTTACCAGCTAACTGTGTCTGTAAACAGCTGCCTGCTGCCTCCTGTGGTCATGAGAAGAGCAGAGTCTGTGGGCCATACAAATCAAAACTGAGCTAAAAGGTTAAAATGCTCTGTAGCATCCACCAGACTGCAACTGAGAGCAACTGCAGTCTGCAACCTCTTTCACTTTACAGAGAATCATTATTTCCATTGCTAATATAAAAATTATTCATTAATGCAGGTTTATATCTGGAAAGTAGAACCACCAAGTCATCTTTCCTGCCTTCTAGTTGCTTTTGGAACAGTTTTTAATTTATTTCAGATGGCTTCATTTTAAGAACATTCACAGTAACTTTTAGGGAGAGTGTTGCAGATGCAAAGTCATCAACATTGTTCAATTTTGTTCAACCTGCTTCAAGACCTCAACAGACTCACCTTGCTAAAATGTCTAAGCGTTTACTGCAGCAGTCTCAAATGTGCATGTGGAGAAAGACAAGCTGTGGGATGACCAGAACCTGGGCACAATTAACCTGCACACACTGACATCAGTCTAAGAGGAAATACACTTTCCAGACCTGTGCAATTGAATGTAAGCTGAAATGTGACAGGAGCTTTTCTGCAGAACACGTGTAGGCGAGTCCCTGGAGCCTGTCGTCAGCTCTGTCTGTCAGTAATGTGTTAAATCAAGAGTTACTTTGGGGTCAGCTGGCTACGTCCGTCATGATGGAGGCACCAGTGAAAAGCAGTAAATTCTGATCCGTTGCACCATTTTCCATTTCTCTGTGATGTAATAGAAAACATGGGGGGGGGTATCGGTGGCTTGTGGGTAACAAAACAAAAACACTAATATGACGATTGAGAGAGACTAAATTTGAAAATAACTTTGCTGTTCTCTCAAAGTCAAGGGAACTCCGCTTCCATGTTGTTTTTACAGCGACTGCTGGTGGGAGACAGGAGAGGGATCAAATGTTCATTGCTGCCATTGCAAATCCAACTGTTTGGCAATAAGGGAACTTTGGGTGAATAGTGTGAATGGTTCTCTAGAGCTTGTTCAGGTCAGCAGAAGCAGTTAACAGCAAAAGGGGGCAATGGTGCATATGAGATTGGTTAACACAGTGCTGGTTGAGTAAAATCAAGAAATGAGTTAGCATTTGAGCACCTCTAGTTTCCCTCAATGTCAATGCATTTTTGAATAGATTTTGGTTAGATGCCTGAAATAAGGTCTGTGGGTAACACAAGCTTAAGAGATTTTTCCATTTTGTTCTTCGATATAAAATACGTCAGTAAATACAACTATGCATTTGAAGTGTCTTAAAAAGGTGGTTGCTAACAAGTGTGAGAACCTTTTTATGAGACAATTATTTTGCCAAAGGAACCAGAACAATGCTAACTTCTGTGTTAGACTACAAAAATAGATCATCCCTGCAGAACCCTGACTGACCTGAGAAAAATATTTAAGAAAAAAAAAAGTAAATACAGTAGCACAGAGTTAACAATCCATCCATTAATTGTTTCACTCAAAGCCACAAATATCAACCTCATAAATCTTAGGATTCATCCTCTTGGCACCTAGGATACCAGATTTCATGGCAGTCCATTCTTGAGATATTTTAATCTAGATGACAATGACTAACATCCATAGAGCCATGATTACCATGGCTGAAAATCCAACAGTGGCAACCATTTGACTTAAGCTGGCAGTTCCAACACATGCTCTAGGTTATATCATTCTTACTGGTCCTTGGACCATCCCCCAGAGCACCTACATTTTCTGCCAAACTACAGCTCAAAGGGAAAGAATCCAGTGGCAACCTTGAGATTGTCCTGGACTGGGAATAACAGACATCATGTAACCTTCAAACTGGTCTTGCATGGCCAGACCTATCTCCACACTTTTTCACTGTGTCAGTGCTGAAGAAAAGTCCCATTATCGTTCTGCTGTAGGGGGGAAAAACGCTGGCCTGTTTGTATTTCTTTAAACCAATAACAGTTGTCCTTTTTGGCCCTGGCATTAAATGTGATACAACTTTTACTGATAAAAAAGACTCATCGATGCCCTAGAGGTGAAACTTGCCTATACTAGCGCTGGGGGAGCTTACTGGACTTAAAAACCTAGGCTTTTTTTTATAGCTGTAAAAGCTTGTGTGCAGTGGGATGCATCAGTACATTGGTCAAAACAATGCTGCATAGGTATGTTTTAATTAGTGTATAATCACCTGTAAATAAGAATCGTTATCTTGAGCCGTCATGTTGAATTACCATGTTTCTACAGTAGTCGAGAAAAGACAAACCAGACACTGGCTCTAGATATGGCTGTTTATTTCACACATTTTTCAGCCACTGTAGTTTCTCCTTCATGCTTAGAAGGGGAAGGTAAAGCGAGGAAGTTGCAATCTGCAGCTAGACCATTATATGCCACTGGTCGAGGCAGACGGCCACCAAACTAGAGCCAGGGTAGGTCCAAGCTTTCTGCCTCTTAAAAGAATGTTTTTCCTTGCCGCCGTTGCCAA